GAGAGAAGGAGAGAGGGAGAGAGGGAGAGGGAGAGAGGGAGAGGGAGAGAGGAGATTTTAGTCCTCTTTGACCCAAAAGAGGAGCAGCAAAATCCCACAGGCAGTTCCTGCCAGCTCCTCACTCTAATTGGTGATAACCTCCCCCAGAGCTGTCAGAGGAGCTGTTAATTGTGGCTTGGACAGACCCTGTGTTTTCAGCTTGGACAATTCTTCCCGAATGATCCCAGGCAAGGCTGGAGTTTTAAAGGTTTGTAGGGATTCTTAAATGATTTCCCCACGGGGAAAAGGCAGCCTGAGTGTGACCCTGGGGTTCCCTCATCCCCCCTCCTGCCTGCATTCCCGGGGTGAGGGCTTTTCCAGCCAGGCCAGAGCTGCTACTGGGAGGAATTTTGCTGCCTGTTTGCACCCAGGTGTCTGAAACACCCCCCCCAACTGGATTTGGAGGATACATAATCCTGTGGATTAATGACAGAGGCAAAAACCACACCTGACAGCTCATCCACGAGGCTGATAACATCATCTGCTGTCCATTCCCTGGCTTCTGTGTCATACAGCAGCTTAATTGCTTCAGCTAAACCCTTCAGACTGCTCTCATCTGTTGGTCCTTCTATCATTTTCTGCCACACCACGTGTCCTGAGCGAGACATTCACCACAACTGCCCGTAAGGGATGGGGTTTTTTTCCCAACAAGGGAGTTGCTGAACTGAGCAGGGGAATCCCAGGCAACAGAACTCAGGCTCTGTGACAGCCACGTTGTTGTCCCTCTGTCACTTTTTAGCTGGGACAGTGGGAGTTGCAGTGAGTCAAATGTAAAGGAACACAGGGTTAACAATTAAGGGAGGAAACACATTTTCCCTCAGGGAAAGGGGTGATGGTTTGAGGTGGATTTGAGCTGCCTCTGCCCCAAGCAGGGGAGTAGAGGGAGACAGGTGTCATTTAATTCCTTCACTTGAGTTTTAACTCAGAAATATATGTATGTGTGTGTATATATATATATATATATATATATAAAAATTAATATATTTTATGTATGACAGTGATGTCTGGTTGAGCAGAACCTTTTTCCTTGGCAGCACAATTGTTTCAATGGCTTCAAACTGCCAGAGGGGAGGGTTAGGTGGGATATTGGGAAGAAATTCCTTCTATGTGAGGGTGGTGAGGCCCTGGCACAGGTTGCCCAGAGAAGCTGGGGCTGCCCCTGGATCCCTGGAAGTGTCCAAGGACAGGCTGAATGGGGCTTGGAGCAACCTGGGACAGTGGAAGGTGTCCCTGCCCATGGCAGGGGGTGGGACTGGATGAGCTTTGAGGTCCCTTCCAACACAAACTATTCTTTGCTTCTAATACACTTACATTTTATCTGCGTAAAAATTTGAGGTTCTGCTTCATCCTGCAAGGGAATCTCCTTCTCAGGGCCCCAAACTCTGAACACTAAGCCCCCCCCAGCTCCTCACCATCCAGAGAGGACACGGGCCCAAAGATGATGTAGAGCAGCCGGGCCTGGTTCACGATGGGCCAGGGCTTCAAAATGCGGGTGAGCCAAAAGGCAGAGTCGCTCCTGTGGATCCAGTGGTTGAGCAGGACCCTCCTGCAGTACAGCCTGATCCTCAGCTCCAGCTTCCTGGCACTGCCTGGGGGAGGAGGGGGGAGATGTGGCAGATCTGTGCAGCCTTGATCAGTGCAAGTGATTGATCTTTATAGGAAATCAAAGAGGGCAATAAATAGGGGCAGCAGGAGGAAGCTTGGTGTGGCTGTGGGTGAAGTGTTCCACAGAAATTCCCTGTTCCATGCTGGGCAACAGAAGGGTTTCTTGAGAGGCCCGTGCCACCTCAGTGTTGGGGTTCAGAAATGTTAAACCTCACTTTTTACTGCAGCATTTTATTCCCAGACTGGTGCCTTTCCCATTGTTTTCACTGGTGGAGAGCGGGAAAGATTCAAATCCCTGCTTTTGCTGTCGATGTAGAGACACACAACCTGTGCTTTGGAATTATTCAGGAAACCCTAAAGGCCTCTCAAGACAACTCTCCTCACTACAGGAGCACTTAGCTTTGGTTTTGATGAAGAAAAACTAGCTGTGCTCGTTGATGTGAAGGCCAAGAACCCACTTCAGGATGCCCTGAGACCAACAGAACGTAGGTGAGGGTCAGGAACCAATTGGTGCCACAAGACTGAGCTGAGCTAAACCCCTCTCAATTCCTGGAATCAAGACCCATTTCCTGCTTTCCCTGTGCTGGCACATTTTGATCCTTCAGGCCTCTTGGCTGCTCTGATTTACCTGCTCTGCTGCTGACAACTGTCTGCACTTTCCTGGCCAAGCTGCTCAGCTCCCAGAGGAAGTTAAAGACCCGGTGGCACTCGAGTTCATCCCAGCCTGCTGTCAGGATCTGAAGGGGACAGAAGGAATGGGGTGAAAAGGAGTGGATTGAGCAGGGATTTAGATCCCAGTGCCAGCCCTCAGAGCAGAGAAACACAGCCTGTGCTGCAGCTCCCCCTCCTCAGGTGCTGCACAGGTTGTGCTTCAGCCCAGTGACTCCCGGAATCCAAAGCTGCTCGTGGTGTTCCAAGATTTTTGAGCCTTGTGTGGGAATGTTCACACAGGTATTTGCTCCAAAGACAAATGACCTGGCATAAATAACCATCTGTTCTTCTTTAAATTTTTAATTTTAATATGTATATTTTTATTTTTTTTTTAAATTCATTTTAAGCTACCACAGGTGAACAGAACTGTTCTGGCCTATGGTGTGTGGAGCCATTTCCTTCAAAACTAAAGCATCTCTGCTCCTGGATTGGGAATTGGAAGCTGTGCAATGAAATGCTGCCCTTCTCCCATGTCTCCTTAGACAATAAACTGCTAATCAAAAGCCTGACTGGTTGGGACTGAAATCCAGGCCAAGGAACTCTCAAGAGTCAAATCAGCAGCTTTCCCCAGCAGAAGGGAAATTCAGAGAACTGTGTGAATAAATACCATCCCCCTACACCCCCAGACCAGCTTATACTCTAAAAAAATCTTGCAAAGAACAGATTGATTTAGAAAACTACCTTAATTTTCTTCTATATTTGTGGTACTTGCCTTGTCTCCATGAGGATACTGTACCTGTAAAAACACCCCGTAGCACTTTAACCCCAGGCAGTGCAAAGGGCTGGCACAACCACTGAGCTTAAAGCAGGAAACCTGCAAGTGCAAACACCAGGGATTTATCTTAACTGAGCATAATTGTTGTGGCTGAAAATCCTCTGTGCTCCTCTTGTGCCTCAGTAGTGACCAGGGAGGTTCAGGAGATTCCTTGTTGCAGAAGGAAGCGAGTTATGGTTTAGCAACAAGTCAAAACTGTGGTCACAGGGGTGTG